TTCAAATGGCCAATAGACACTTCAAAAATGCTCAGGATCACTACCCATCAGAGAAATGCAAATCAAAACCGCAATGAGGTTTCACCTCACCCCTGTTAGAACAGATTTCATACAGAAATTAACAAATGACAAATGCTGGAAAGGATGTGGGGGAAATGGTACCCTAATAAACTGTTGGTGGGAATGAAAACTGGTACAGCCACTGTGAAAGACAATATGGCGATACCACAGAAATCTGAATATGTACCTACTATATGATCCAGCCATCCCACTCCTGGGAATGTAACCAATCCAAAAGACATCAGCATATGAAAGAGTTATCTGTACCCCCATGTTTATTGCAGCTCAACCCACAATATTTAAGATATAGAATCAACCCAGATGTCCGTCAACTGAAGACTGTATAAAGAAATTATGGTAGATGTACACCATGAAATACTACACAGCAGTAAAAATAAATGAAATTCTGTTGTTTGCAACAAAATGGATGCAACTAGAAATCATAGTTGGTAGTTAAAAAGCCAGTCCCCAAAAGGCAAATACCATATGTTCTCTCTAATCTGCAGTAACTAATAGAGTATACAAAAAGTAATCTATAGAACTGAAATTGGCACTTTGAGATGTGATGGTTTTCAACAGTTCTGGTCTTGACTATTGAGGAACAATTTTTTTTCATACTATTGTTGAATGCTTTACTTAATGTAGGGTTAATTTTATGTGTATAAAGTTAATTGAAGATATATGTTTTTAAAAAATAAGAATGGGAATAGGAGAGGGAGGAGAAAGAAGGGTGGGAGAACAGATGGGAGTGAGGATGTAGTGGGAAGAATCACTATGTTCCTAAATTTGCCTATATGAAATGCATGAAGTTTGTCTACCTTGAATAAAAGGTTTCTAGGGCCTGGAACTGTGGTGTAGTGGGTAAAGCTGCTGCTTGCAGTGCCAGGATCCCATAAGTGCACTGGTTCGAATCCTCACTGCTCCACTTCCAATTCAGCTCTCTGCTATGGCCTGGGAAAAGCAGTAGAAAATGGCCCAAGTCCTAGGGCCCCTGCACCTGTGTGGAAGACCTGGAAGAAGTTCCTGGCTCCTGGTTTCAGATCGGTGCAGCTCTGGCTATTGCGGTCATCTGGGGAGTGAACCAGTGGATTGAAGACCTTTTTCTCTCTGCCTCTGCCTCTCTATAGCGCTACCTTTCAAATAAATAAATAAATAAATAAACAAATGGTTTATAGGTTAACAAAAATGAAAAGAAAAAATAGCATTATAAAAGCTACTGTTGAAAATTCAATAAATGAAATAGAATGAGATACAAAATTATTCAATTAATGCAAAAGATGACAGTAAAAAGGACCAATGTGAGCCAGCATTGTGGCATAGCTGGTTAAAGCTGCTGCCTGGGAGCTGGCGCTGTGGTGTAGTGGGTAAAGCCACCACCTTCAGTGCCGGCATCCAAAATGGGCACCAGTTTGAGTCCCGGCTGCTCCACTTCTGATCCAGCTCTCGGCTATGGCCTGCACCCACGTGGGAGACCCAGAAGAAGCTCCTGGTTACTGGCTTCGGATTAGCACATCTCTGGTGGTTGGGGCCATTTGGGGAGTGAACCAGCAGATGGAAGACCTCTCTTTCTCTCTCTCTGCCTCTCCTCTCTGTGTAACTCTGACTTTCAAATAAATAAATAAACCTTAAAAAGAAAAAGCTGCTGCCTGCGATGCCAGCATCTCATATGGGAGCCAGCTCGAATCCTGGTTGCTTTATTTCTGATACAGCTCCATTATAATGGTCTGGGAGAAACAGCAGAAAATGTCCCAAGTATTTGGACCCTTGCCACCCAGGTGGGAGAACCAGCAGAAGCTTCTGGTTCCTGGCTTTGACCTGGCCCAGCTGCAGCCATTGCAGCCATTGGGAGTGAACTAGTGGATGGAAGATATCTTGCTCTCTGTTTCTCTCACTTTCTCTGTAATTATACCTTTTGAATAAATAAATAAATAAATAAATAAATAACTTTTAAAAGGAACAATGTAACAAATAATAAAGGGGATAAATAGAAAACAAATACAAAGAAGGTAGATATAAATACAGCCATATAAGTAATTCTATTAAATATTAATGAATTAGACACTCCAACAAAAGACAGAGGTTGATTCTTTGCTATTATCAAGAAATACACTTGAACTATAGAAACACAGGTTGAAGTAAAAGGATAAAACTAGATCTACAATGCAAACAGCTTTCATAAGAAAGCTGTGTGGCTACATTAACATCAGACAAATTAGACTTCAAAACAAGGAGAATTACCAGAGATAAAATGGATCATTTGACAGTAATAACGGGTTAATGCATCAAAAATAGAAAAAAGAATCCTAAGTGAGTATGTAAATAACAACTTCAAAATACACGAAGCAATATTTTACAAAACAGATAGAAAATTAATAATTATATCAGGAGATTTAAATTCTCATCTATTGATAACTGGTAAACCAAATAGTCAAAAAAATCAGTTAGGATGTATAATAATATGTGAAGACAACTATCAACCGATTTTGTACTATACTGAAGTAGATCAAATTCTGGGTCAAAAACTGAGTTTCAATATGTTTAAAAATATTTAAATAATAAAATATGCGTTCTGAGCAAAAGGAATTTTAAAGGATTTAATAACAAAAACATACCCAGAAGATCCCATAATATATAGAAACTAAGAGTATACTTTTTTAAATTTATTTTTTATTTTTTGCCAGGCAGAGTTAGACAGTGAGAGAGAGACAGAGAGAAAGGTCTTTCTTCCATTGGTTCACTCCCCAAATGGCCGCCACTGCCGGTGCTGCGCCGATCCGAAGCCAGGAGCCAGGTGCTTCCTCCTGGTCTCCCATGCGGGTACAGGGACCCAAGCACTTAGGCCACCCTCCTCTGCCCTCCTGGGCCACAGCAGAGAGCTGGACTGGAAGAGGAGCAACCGGGACTAGTACCTGGTGCCCCAAGCAGGACTAGAACCCCGGGTGCCAGCGCCGCAGGTGGAGGATTAGCCAAGTGAGCCGTGGCGCCGACCCTAAGAGTATACTTTTTAAAAATCCATCTCAGTGGAAAGAACAGGTCTTCAAAGAAGGAGGTACCTTTCTCTGAAGGGAGGAGAGAACCTCCACTTTGACTATGACCTTGTCTAAACAAGATAAGAGGCGGAGAACTCAAGGGGCTTCCATAGCCTTGGAAACTCATGACTGGTGCATAGGGAGATTGCTGATGCCATAAACAGGAGTGTCAATTTGTAAAGTCAACAACAGGAGTCACTGTGCACTTACTTACTCCTCATGTAGGATATCTGTCCTTAATGTGCTGTACACTGAGGCTTAATGCTATAACGAGTACTCAAACAGTATATTTCACTTTGTGTTTCTATGGGGGTGCAAACTGTTGAAATCCTTACTTAATGCATACTAAACTGATCTTCTGTTAAAAAAAAAAAAAGAAGAAATTAGCAATTCCCAACTTGACTCTCACTGGGATTAAACATGACAATAGGTCTGCTCTGATTTCATCATCATTTAAAAAATCATCTATTATTTTTCACTTTATGTTTCTGTGTGAGAGCAAACTGTTGAAATCTTTACTTAATGTATGCTAAACTGATCTTCTGTATATAAAGAGAATTGAAAATGAATCCTCATGTGAATGGAAGGGGAGAGGGAATGGGAAAGGGGATGGTTGTGGGTGGGAGGGACGTTATGGGGGGGAAGCCATTGTAATCCATAAGCTGTACTTTGGAAATTTATATTCATTAAATAAAAGTTAAAAAAAATCCATGGTTAGAACAGAAATCAGAAGTGAAATGAGAAGATAAGTCAAGCCACATAAGGAAACATATGGTACGAAATTTTGTGAGATGCAGCTATAAAGCAATCTTAAGTGGGAATTTTATAGCTTTATTTTTATATTAGAAAATAATAAAGTTTTAAGTGAATAGATTGCATTATAGGGAACACTAAAGAACAGACTAAATCTAAATATAAAAATAATAAAGATAAGAAACAGAAACAAATGAAATAGAAAAAAAGAAGAAAACAGAGGAATTAAGAGAGCCCAAAGTATTTTTTAAGATCAAAGAATTATAAAAGCTAAAGTTAATCAATGAAGATGACACAAAATATAAGTTGTCAATTTCAGAAATTATAGAAGGAGCATCACTACCCATGCTATAGATATTTAAAAAATGAAGGGAATATTATGCACAATGCCATATGAACAAAGTTGAAAATTTAGATGAAATGAAAAAAAGCTGCTGAATATCAACTTAACAAAACAAACACAGCAAATACAAAAATTAACTCAAAATGTAAAACCACCTCACTAAGAAAGTTCCAGGAGTGGATGGCTTTGTTGGTGAATACTATCAAACACTTATGCAAGAGATAACATAAATCTTAAACAAACTGAAAATTACAAAGCACCAAAGAGATAAATGAATGACCTGAAAAGCTGGAGAGACAGAACCTGTTCACAGACTGAAAGTATCAAATTGTTAAGATTTAAGTTCTCTCTATATTGATTTCTAAATTCAACACATCATCACAGTGAAATCAAAGCATGCTGTCCTATTAATGGAAAAATTGATTTTAAAATTTATATGGGGGCCGGCGCTGTGGTGTAGCGGGTAAAGACATATAAATAAGAGATCATGGTAAAGGATGGAAGAGAATAGAACAAACCATTGAATGGGGGGAAACCATGAGAATGCCTCTGGGGAAACACCGTCTCTCCACCATGTTACATATTAGATTTGGACATCTGGGGAAATCAGGGGGGTTATCAGGTCTTTTTGAAATGGATCTTTGTGTAGTACTCAGTAAAGAGCCCCTTTTCCAATCACAGTATCTTGCCTGCCCCTCCTCCTCTCCCCCCCCCCCCAGTGGCTCCCTCTACCTTCACAGGAATGTCAAGATTGGTGCTTTGTGATGTCTAAGCCACCACAGGGCTATCATTGGCTGGGATAGCTCCTTGTTGACCAAACAAAGCTGAAGGGTGGGGCTCCTCATCACCCAGGGGAGGGTATATAAAGAGGGCAGGAGACCAGGATAGACCTAGAGTAAACAAGTACAGCTAAGGAGATCTGCACATCCCAGAAATCTACCACAACTATGGAAGACTCAATCATGAATACAATCCCAAGGACTAAAGGGAAGAAGCAAAGGAAGACCACATGTCAACAAAAGGTCAGATACAGCAGCAAGGTTAGATGACCTTACCCATGTTCCTCCTCTTGTTCCCGTAGATACCCCAAGACCCCTAGCCTATTCTTGCCTGATATAAACCCTTCCCCAGCCCATATCCCTATTCATGAAGTGCCCCTCCCTTTTAAATATTTATTTATTTACTTGAAAGTCAGAGTTACAGAGAGAGAGAAGGAGAGGCAGAGAGAGAGGTCTTCCTTCTGCTGGTTCACTCCCCAATTGGCTGCAACAGCTGGAACTGTGCCAATCCAAAGCCAGGAGCCAGGAGCTTCTTCCAGGTCTCCCACATGGGTGCAGGGGCCCAAGGACTTGGGCCATCTTCTACGGCCTTCCCAGGCCATAGCAGAGAGCTGGATCGGTAGTAGAGCAGCCAGGACTCGAACAGGCACCCATATGGGATGTCAGCACTGCAGGCGGCAGCTTTACCCACTACGCCACAGTGCCGACCCCGAAGTGCTCCTTTTATTTTCCCTAAAACCAATGCCCTTTTTCTTTCTCTGTTGCCCTCCTAAACACAGAAGAAAACCATGAAGGTGAAAGAAACCCTCCACAGGAAGTTGAGAAAAAAATCTCCCCAATCAGTCCGCTCCTCTTCAAGAGAAGCAAGGGAAGCAGTAAGACCAACAATATTCATTTGTTTTCACAAACTGAATGAGACACAAAATAAACCTCAGGAGAACGGGAACACAGACCATTGGAAAATCAACGAGTTCCATGTGACATGCTGTGCAGCCCGTAAATGCCAAGCCTGGGCCAGAGAACTAGTTGCAGCATCCTCCAAGACAGTGGTGAAGCAATGGCCAATTACATAGGGACCAAATCTGAGACCAACAGTCTACAGGAAGGTTGGCAACTGAAATAAAGTCAAGTGGCTGCAGAAAGAAAATGTGTATGTGTGTCTGTAGCAGGGAGGGAAGGAATAAAGGGAGGAAAGAAGTGCTTTTTGAGTCGGTGGGGTGGGAGTAGGGGGACCTGCAGGATTAGAGGCCAGACCAACAGGGCAACAGCCACTGGGGATAAGGACTGGAGGAGGACTGAGAAACGAAAACAAATTTCCTCAACACTTTGTCTCTTGTGCAAAAAGACAAGGGCCCTTGGTGCTTCTACATGTGTTTGGGGTGGAGAATAGGGAGCAACATTTAAGTTGGGGAGGTGGGTTTGATGTGTGGTTTGCAACATTGACACTCTCCACAAAGGGTAAGCAAAATTGTCTCCTGGTCAACTGCATCATAGTGGTTATGTTGTACCTCACCCACAAAACTTCATCCTATTAACAGTCACTGCCAGTTACCTCCAAAGAATAAAATTGTGGATCTTGGAACCCACAAACCCAACACTGATTAGGCTACCCTCTTGTTAAGAAGCTTGGGGCTGAGCAGTTGCCTACCAAGGGTGAAGGCAATAGATGAAGGCATTGTTTACAGAGAATTTCCATAGAAAAAAAGCCCATTAAAGCCAGTCTTAAGTTTCGTTAGCACCATAACCAAGTGGTTCTAATGCTCCCCCATCCTTTTCTAAAATTCTGAAGATTGCTATGAATAACATTAAGTTTTGATAATACATGAATATATGTAACTTCAAATTAGCTGATTTTTAGTGTTTCAATAACCATTTTGTCCTACAAAGAAGTTAATTTGAATACATTTATAATAAATCATTGGCTCTATACATAGGTTGCTCTTTGCAAGTTCTTAAGAATTTGGAATTGCTTGAGCTTTCTTTGAGCACACTTCCAGACTGCAATCCAGGTGGTAACAGATAACATACATAGTCCTATATTTAAAAAGCAGACTCTAAATAAAATAGTAATGTCACAGTGATTATACAGACAAAGAACTGGAGTTATTTGAACTCTGTGATTCTATGTGATCATTTGCTATTGTTGATTTGAAATCAGTGAAATAACATGTTAAATTTGAAGATCTTCAGGGATAATGAAATTATCACATTTGAAAACAAAATATTTTACTAATGTTTAACAATATCTTTAAACAAAACATATTCTGTAATTGTTCATTATTTTAATACTTTATAAGAAGCAAAATAAAACAATCTGACATATGCTATGTGATTAGTTGGTGGAATTGTATCTTTTACAAGCTTTAAATTTTCTTTTTTTACTATAATTACATATAAAATGTTCTGTAAATGCTATTTACACTATGTTTTCTCTCTAATTATAGCTACTTGTTTTAATTTATATGCATCATTAAAATGCTATTCTGTGCAGGTGGGGACATTAAAATATACCTTAGAACTCAGTGTATGTGCTAAAAGTCATTGAGTTATATATATTAAATGATTAAGTGTACATTAAATAGTTGAATGGCATTGCACAGTATATCTCAGTAAAACTTGTAACTATATAACAAGTATTTTGGCTTTGTGTTTTCTTATCTTCGTTTTTGTTTTAGGCAGATTTATTGAGGTAAAACTGACTTTAAAAAACCATACATTTTTTCTTTTTTTTAAACTTTTATTTAGGAAATATAATTTTCCAAAGTACAGTTTATGGATTACAATGGCTTTCCCCCCATAACTTCCCTCCCACCCGCACCCCTCCCATCTTCCGCTCCCTCTCCCATTCCATTCACATCGATTCATTTTCAATTATCTTTATATACAGAAGATTGATTTAGTATATATTAAGAAAAGATTTCATCAGTTTGCACCCACACAGAAACACAAAGTGTAAAATACTGTTTCAGTACTAGTTATAGCATTAATTCACATTGGACAACACATTAAGGACAGAGATCCCACATAAGGAGTAACTACACAGTGACTCCTGTTGTTGACCTAACAATTTGACACTCTTGTTTATGGCGTCAGAAATCTCCCTAGGCTCTAGGCATGAGTTTCCAAGGCTATGGAAGCCTCTTGAGTTTGCTGACTTCAATCTTATTTAGACAAGGTCATAGTCAAAGTGGAAGTTCTCTCCTCCCTTCAGAGAAAGGTACCTCCTTCTTTGACAGCCCGTTCTTTCCACTGGGATCTCACTCGCAGAGATCTTCCATTTAGGTTTTTTTTTTTTTCTTTACCAGAGTGTCTTGGCTTTCCATGCCTAAAATACTCTCATGGGCTCTTCAGCCAGATCCGAATGCCTTAAGTGCTGATTCTGAGGCCAGAGTGCTGTTTAGGACATCTGCCATTCTACGAGTCTGCTGTGTATCCCACTTCCCATGTTGGATCGTTCTCTCCCCTTTTTTATTCTATCAGTTAGTATTCGCAGACACTAGACTTGTTTGTGTGATCCCTTTGACTCTTAGACCTATCAGTGTGATCAATTGTGAATTGAAATTGATCCCTTGGACTAGTGAGATGGCATTGGTACATGCAGTCTTGATGGGATTGTATTGGAATCCCCTGGCACATTTCTAACTCCACCATTTGGGGCAAGTCCGATTGAGCATGTCCCAAATTGTACATCTCCTCCCTCTCTTATTCCCACTCTTAAATTTAACAGGGATCACTTTTCAGTTAAATTTGAACACCTAAGAATAAATGTGTATTAATTACAGAGTTCAACCAATAGTATTAACTAGAACAAAAAAATACTAAAAGGGATAAATTATTAAATTGTACATCAACAGTCAGGACAAGGGCTGATCAAGTCACTGTTTCTCATAGTGTCCATTTCACTTCAACAGGTTTCCCCTTTGGTGCTCAATTAGTTGTCACCGATTGGGGAGAATATATGATATTTGTCCCTTTGGGACTGGCTTAATTCACTCAGCATGATTTTTTCCAGACTCCTCCATCTTGTTGCAAATGACTGGGTTTCATTGTTTTTGACTGCTGTATAGTATTCTGTAGAGTACATATCCCATAATTTCTTTATCCAGTCTACTGTTTATGGGCATTTGGGTTGGTTCCAGGTCTTAGCTATTATGAATTGAGCTGCAGTAAACATTAATGTGCAGACAGCTTGTTTGTTTGCCAATTTCATTTCCTTTGGGTGAATTCCAAGGAGTGGGATGGCTGGGTTGTATGGTAGAGTTATATTCAGGTTTCTGAGGAATCTCCAGACTGACTTCCATAGGCTTAACCAGTTTGCATTCCCACCAACAGTGGGTTAGTGTCCCTTTTTCCCCACATCCTCTCCAGCATCCGTTGTTGGTAGATTTCTGTATGTGAGTCATTCTAACTGGAGTGAAGTGAAACCTCACTGTGGTTTTGATTTGCATTTCCCTGATTGCTAGTGATCTTGAACATTTTTTCATGTGCCTGTTGACCATTTGGATTTCCTCTTTTGAAAAATGTCTATTGAGGTCCTTGGGCCATCTCTCAAGTGGGTTGTTTGTTTTGTTGCTGTGGAGTTTCTTAATCTCATTGTAGATTCTGGTAATTAATCCTTTATCTGTAGCATAGTTCGCAAATATTTTTCCCATTCTGTCAGTTGCCTCTTCACTTTCCTGACTGTTTCTTTTGCAGTACAGAAACTTCTCAATTTGATGCAATCCCAAAAGTTAATTTTGGCTTTGGCTGCCTGTGCCTCTGAGGTCTTTTCCAAGAAGTCTTTGCCGCTGCCGATATCTTGCAGTGTTTCTCCAATATTGTTCAATAATTTGATGGTGCTGGGTCATAGATTTAGGTCTTTAATCCATGTTGAGTGGATTTTTGTATAAGGTGAAAGGTAGGGGTCTTGCTTCATGCTTCTGCACCTGGAAAAGAGTTTTCCCAGCACCATTAATTGAATAGACTATCCTTGCTCCAGGAATTGGTTTTAGATCCTTGATCAAATATGAGTTGGCTGTAGATGTTTGGGTTGATTTCTGGTATTTCTATTCTGTTCCATTGGTCGATCCATCTGTTTCTGTACCAGTACCATGCTGTTTTGATTACAACTGCCCTGTAGTATGTCCTGAAATCTGGTATTGTGATGCCTCTGGCTTTGTTTTTGTTGTACAAGATTGCTTTAGCTATTCGAGGTCTCCTGTGTTTCCATATGAATTTCAGCATCATTTTTTATAGATCTTTGAAGAATGTCTTTGGTATCTTGATTGGTATCGCATTGCATTTATAAATTGCTTTTGGGAGAATGGACATTTTGATGATGATGATTCTTCCAATCCATGAGCATGGAAGATTTTTCCATTTTTTGGTATCCTCTTCTATTTCTTTCTTTAGGATTTGTAATTCTCATCGTAGAGATCTTTAACGTCCTTAATTAAGTTTATTCCAAGGTATTTGATGGTTTTTGTAGCTATTGTAAATGGGATTGATCTTAGCAGTTCTTTCTCAGCTGTAGCATTGCCTGTGTATACAAAGGCTGTTGATTTTTGAGCAATGATTTTATATCCTGCTACTTTGCCAAACTCTTTTATGAGTTCCAATAATCTCTTAGTGGAGTTTTTTGGATCCCCTAAATAAAGAATTATATCATCTGCAAAGAGGGATAGTTTGAGTTCTTCCTTCCCAATTTGTATCCCTTTAATTTCTTTTTCTTGCCTAATGGCTCTGGCTAAAACTTTCAGTACTATGTTGAATAGCAGTGGTGAGAGTGGGCATCCCTGATTGGTACCCGATCTCAGTGGAGATGCTTCCAACTTTTCCCCATTTAATAGGATGCTGGCCATGGGTTTTTCATAAATTGCTCTGATTGTATTGAGGAATGTTCCTTCTATACCCAGTTTGCTTAGAGTTTTCATCACGAAAGGGTGTTGAATTTTATCGAATGCTTTCTCTGCATCTATTGAGATAATCGTACGGTTTTTCTTCTGCAGTCTGTTAATGTGGTGTATCACATTGATTGTTTTGCGCACATTGAACCATCCCTGCATACCAGGGATAAATCCCACCTGGTCTGGGTGGATGATCTTTCTGATGTGTTGTTGTATTCTATTGGCGAGTATTTTATTGAGGATTTTTGCGTCTATGTTCATC